CACAGGGCGCACCTCCCTCAGCGCGCGCACCGTGCACAGCAGACCGCACAGCGCACGGCGCACAGTGCACGCGCTGTCATTACAGCGCACAGCACAGTGCGCACCGCCCCGCACCGCACTGTGCACTGGTGCGCCGCAACTATGCCAATAACCCATGTGTTGTATGCCTCGTGGAAAAACTGAGGGCCTCGCCAGGCCACACCCAGGCCCAGGCCGAAAAGGGGAAAAAGACCCCAGCCAAAGATTCAGGGCCTGAGCAAGGTACAGTTGACAAAAGTCAACTGTCAGGGGTGCTGATGTGGCGCTGCCACCTGTCTACCCTGCTGATGTGGCGCATGCCACTTGTCTGCATTGCTGATGTGGCACATGCCACTGGTCTACATTGCTGATGTGGTGCACGCCACTGGTCTACATTGCTGATGTGGCGCTGTCACCTGTCGTCATTGATGATGTGGCGCATGCCACCTGTCTCTACATCTGACGTGGCATAGGCCACGCTGTCTACATGAGGTGACTGGTTGCGATAAGGAGGGAGATCGGGATCTGTGGTTGATTGGGATCGGGTACTCACCTGACGTCGTTACTATATTCTGCTGTTGTCTTCATGGTCTTCACGAGATAAGAGTGCCACGTGGCACTTCTGTGTGATCAGAACTTATCAGAATTGTTACTATTATTGATTGATGATGTGGAGGGAGAAGAAGCCCGGAGAAGGAGTGGGATTGGTAGGGCTATTATCGTGTGGTCTTTGATTACTTCTTCCACCTTCTCCCTTGTCTATCCTCCCTCCACCCTCTTCGTCTATTGGTAACGAGATACTGTTTCGGATATCACTTCACGATAACTGGAGACTTGTGCAGATCTGAGACTACTTGTGGTTTGACGACTGATGGGTATCTGCCAGACTGGATTCATTACAAAAAGCTTTTTCTTCTTTTTTTCCATCTCTTTTTCACTCCGATCACAAAGCCACATGAGGAACCCTTTTCATTTGTCTTTTTTCCTTCTTTTCTCTTTTTCTTTTTTTTGGGGAAGAGGGGAAGGGACAACTTCTGAAACACTGCCTTTCCAGTCATGGGCAAATCCAGCAGCCGTCCCACAGCATGCCAGTGACCCCTTCATCTGTATGGTGCACATATATATATACATGGGGAAATCCAGCAGCCCTCTAAGAAGTTTAGGTACCCATAGAAAGTCCGCGAGGGCGGGTTAGGTTGGTGGATGGCGTGTCCATTTTCTTCATGAAGAAAGTGGGAAAGAAAGGCGAGAACAAGGTGATAGGATTACAGACGAAGGTCCTTCGGGACATCCGTTCCGTTAAAATTGGAACGATACAGAGAAGATTAGCATGGCCCCTGCGCAAGTAAGGATGACACGCATAAATCGAGAAATGGTCCATTCAAAAAACAAAAAAAAAAGAATTACAGACGAAGTTTGAGGCGGCGTACGACGACAAATTAAGTCGACAACTTAACGTTAAAACTTAAAACGGACGGAAGATGGAAATGGGGAATGGGGATTTCTGACGGTTGGAGAGAGAGAGAGAGAGAGAGAGAGAGAGAGAGAGAGTAAATCATGCACGTTGGGCCTCGCTCCACCACTCACCACAGCATCGTATTGGCGAGGGGCCTCGTCGCTCTGCCACTCACCACAGGCTGCATGTCAGAAGAACTTTTTTTCCCGTGGTGAGTGGGCTGTCGTGAGTACTCACCAGGGCCTTCTTTTTACCAGCCTGCAACGGCGGGTTTGTGAAGCATGCTCTCACCCACCTGCCACAACTGGTGAGTAACTCTCACCATCGGGGCCAGTACCAGCCGGACCCGGCCTTGTCTTGTTGCACCCACCCGCGGGGTGAGTGCTCACCACGGGAAATCGAGTTTCGTAAGCGGTGGAGCGAGGCCTGTTGTTTCTCTCTCAGTTTGAAGAAGATGTGTCGACTAGAGGATTTCTCTACCTGCTTATGTGTGGAGTGGTCTTGTTTATGCCCATGATTGCTGGTCGGCTGATCACTAAGAGCTTACTGCCTGGTGACACTACTCAGAAATGTTTTTTTTTTTTGGGGGGGGGGGGGGGGGGGGGGGAGGAACCATTTTGCTAATCTTCATTCTCTGTATCGTTCCAATTTTAGCGGATGCCCCCGAAAGAGTCGGGGGTTGGGTGGGAAGTTGGAAGACAAAAAAAGCAAATAAAAAAAAGGTCTTTTCTAGCAGGAGTGTTGGGGGTTGGGGGTTGGGTTGGAACACAAAGGGAAAAAAATAAAAGATGGAGCCCATTGTGTTTGACTGTGAGTGTTCGGGGTTGGGTTGGAGAAATGACCACAATCTCACCTACATAGGCCCCCATTGTTTAAAAAAAAAAAGAAAAGGCGGGAGAAATTATCCACAATCTCACCTACTTAACACCCATAGGTCCCATATTAATTAAAAATAAGAATGAATTAAATTCAATTAATTAATAATAAATAAATTGGCAGGAGAAACAATCCACTATCTCACCTAGATAGGCCCCACAGAACCAGACCCCTCTGCTTCCCTGAATGGCTTTTAATTCTCGTCCCGCCTTCGCTGCCCCAGCTGTGGGAATGGGGTGCTCCATTTTCCAGGATGAAACTAGGTGTTGTGGTGTCTTCTCTGGATTCAGTGTGACCAGGACAGGTCTTCCCGTCTCTCCCAAATTCTGCACCCAAAACACCAATTTGTTCATCATCACAAAGCCACAGCAACATTACCTAACGAGGAACAAAAAAAAAGAAAAAGGTTAAAAAAACAGAAAAGTTGAGAAAACATGTCATTGCTATACAATAGATGGGGGAAGAGCAGGGCGAAGAGAGGAGAGGGTGGGGGTGGGGGGTCACTGGGGTGAGGTTGGCAGCGTAAAAATAAAAACAAGCCCTCAGTCCTTTTCTTATGCAGATTTTTTTTAGTTTTTTTTTCTGTTTCCAGTTCTTAACTTTTTCCTTTCCTTTCCTTTCCTCTCCTCTCCTCTCCTCTCCTCTCCTCTCCTCTCCTCTCCTC